AGCTGCTGCTAATCCAATTGGTGGGCGATACGACCCATCACTGACTTTTGCTGAAAACGTAAGTGTCAGTCAAATGTCTGCCATACTTGTACTAGTTATGTAATAAGAAAACAGGTGTTCATCAATGTTGGTTATTGAAGGGGTGAATTAACTTTTTTATTTGTACTTAATATTCTCAAAATCAATCTTGGGTTGACTTGCAGGTTGATCTTACTGAACCCATCTTGTCACGTTTTGACATTCTCTGTGTGGTAAAAGATACAGTGGATCCTGTACAGGTAAAGAACTTGCTATGGACTGGATTTAACGTACATTCAAGTTGGATTCTTTTTTATTGGCTTTTTAAATGAGACAGATTTGTTATTCTATAAACTTTTCAGGATGAAATGCTGGCCAGGTTTGTTGTCAACAGCCATGTTAAGCACCACCCTAATGCTGTGAACAACAAGGATGATGATGATGAGGATGATTCCCTGCAGGTAGGAATGCACTAATAAATAGCTTGAATGCCATACTTAATGACTGCATGGTTTTTGTGAAGAATTTACTTCGTAGAAAATTATAATTAAACTGAGGAATATAGTTTGCTATGGCAGAAAAACACCAAAGAAGAAGACAAGGATGGCTAAAATTGGGAAAGATTTGGACAGATAATGTTATTCTTGGAACACAAACTTCCAAGTTTAGCAAAAGTGCATCTATGCTAATTGTCTTGATGATCATCCAAAGTCGGGCACCATTTTTATTACTCAAATCTTGTGTAGTTGTTGTGCTATTAGGTATTACCCTTCGCCCAAACAGTTTCCTCTGATTTCCATGCAGTAGACTGAAAGGAAAAGATCTTTCATGTTCTACTGCAAGAGAGAAAATTTGACAGTTCAACCCAAAGCTATGCGATAAACAGACTTGTACTATACTGAGTTGTACTGTTATGAGTGACTTGGAAAACCTAATCAAAAAGTCCAGTGTAAAAAGTACTGTGCACGCATTGCTTGCCTATGATTTAGGATCATTTCCAAGACGTTTCTTGTGACTCTTTCCGTAGAATGCTTTGCAACCCAGTGTGGAAACCATTCCTCAAGAAATGCT